TAAGACACCCGAAAAAATTCTCATATGTTGTGGAGTTATTGGTGCAGCAGATGTCTGGCATTATTGGAGATGTCTTCGTAGCGAATGAGGAAACAGCAGTGAAAAGCCACTCAGGGTGAAACGATCAAAACGTAGATGTTTTGGTCGGTAAGCGAGTCTTCCAGCTAATTTTTTTTAAGCACCGCCTTAAATCATTATTTTAGTAAATAGGGATGAGTTGATGTTTCCTATTTTGATTCAGTTGAGTCAGGAGTTGAGTAGGCTATTCTTAGGCGTATGAGGGAGCCTCCCTAGACTCTTCAGATTCTGGGTACTGAGCCTCTCCTTCGTAGGTCACCTCAGCCACGTAGCCTGAGTCACCGTCCACATAGTAAGTCACCTTCTGCAGACGACCATCGGGAAGCTGTACGTAGTACGACCCCTTGGTACTGTCACCATCGCGAGACTCCTGGTGACCGAAGTCGTTATCAGAGTCATCGTCCTTCACGGACCAGTTAAAGTCGTACTTTGCCTCGCTGGACTCTGCTGAGACTTCCACAGAATCAACGGACTCCTGCAAAGATAATTTGATGTTTTTTTCAAGAATGGACAATTTTTTTTTTAATATTTATATGTATATACCTAATAATATATGTACCAAGAGGTGTATATCACTCAGTGTATATATACTAAGTTCACTTTAATTCCTAATTTAGATGTTAAAAGGTTACATGCAGCTTAAATTACCCTAATGTAGTAGAAAGGCTTTAAACCCAATTAACTAACCTACTCACACGGAGATGTGGAAATTAGTCACTCCATACACAGATCCAGTCATTCAGTACACATTTACATTTGAAAGAAGAATACTTTGTATAGGCATTTCCTTAGATGGACCGAATATTTGATGTATATCTAAGATAAATAACCGTATATACCTTTGCTTCTGTGGTCTGTAAAGTTGGTTGATTTAATATTTAAAGGCTATCGACCACGAGGTTCTTGAAGCTAAAGGTAACATGTACACAACCAGTTTTAGATACTTTAATCCTTAAAACAAGAAATAATCTCTGTGTATATGAACTACAAAGTGTTTATACACTACTGCTTTGTGTATACACATCAAGTGAAATATACGCCTCAGAATATGTGCAAAACTGCGTACGGTTATCACTAGAAGGCGCTGCTAAACATGACTTAATGGAAAATCTTAAGAGTATTATAGCTAATGAACTACAGAGTAGATAAGCATACTAGGGCAGCTTCCCTGTCTTTACGTGACAGCATCCTCAAGGTGTTTATAGGAGCCGTCTTTAATTATGATATCAGATCAACTATAAGAAATAGATTGATTACATGTACATAGGATGCAGAGTGTGATTTAAACATAAAGTGAGTGTTAAAGGCAATGTGTTACAGGAGCGGAACCTTACCTGTTAGGTAAAAGGAGAGCGAAACGTTGCCACAATAAAAATGTCGCATTAGTTGCACATGACTCCTTTTACCTAACATATTGTCGGTAATTCAACCAACATTATTGTCGGACACGAAACCTTACCTGGGGTGGTCCATAGGAGAAAGATGGTCTTTTGTCAGCAACAGCCAGGACCACTAACCCCAAGACTAGCACAATCTGCCAAAGTTTGCTCAATTATTATACTGTCCAGTCCAAACACAAGACTTTGACAAATGTGGCAAGGTAATCTTATGTTCTTATGTTATATTGCCAAGATTTGATATTCTTTAAGCATAATGTCAGTCATTATGTAAACATAAGCTTACCTTAGTGTTCATGATGGTAGTGACGAAGAAGCAATGATGTTTTCTGTATATACTCCCGGTATATATACTGTTTATATACCCTGTTGAACCATGACGACACACCCACAACATTTTTTTTTGTGCCGCTACACAGGAAGAACTTGATTCTTGCTAGACCTTCACTGCTTAAACACACAGGAAGATATCCTGGTGTTCTTTGCCGAGACATAACCACTGGTCGTCTCTCTTTGTATATCACCCACGATTGTATACATTTTGTAGATACAATAACAATCTAAAATCTATATCTCCACCTGATCCTTACGTAGAATTGGCTTTTTCTTGGGGGGGGGGGGTCAGTAAGGCTGTGATTATATAATGTGTATTTTATATTCTCAGTATCTTAAACTTGGAGTATGCGACCATCCATATTGATTACGTTACGGAAACTAATCCTGGACACCTCCAATTGGACGATTATACAAATATAATTGTTTAAATAATGTAATTGTTATAGTAATATCATTACTACAGAAATGTAATTACTTTAGAAAAATAATTGTTTCAGAGTATACAGAATACACAGCCCTGGTTTCTTAGAAAACGAATTGTCAAATCGTTACAGATATCTTCAACAACTTCAACTCCCCAGAAGGTTCCTGCAAGACTGCAAGCAAAGTGTCACTTAAACAAGCACCGAAGGGAGGAGAGAAGCTACAATTATTTTATCTTCTTTCCCACCTTCAGTGCTCCTGAAGACGCTGTGGAACTTTTCCACAAGACCGACCTCAATGATATCACCATCACATCCACTTCCAGAGACTAGTACCGAGTGACCAGCGAGGAGGCTTGGCCAGGAGCTGTGAATCGACTACTGCAATGACAAATAGGCGAGTACATTACTAGGGCTCACAACAGTGCCTCCTTCAAGCGCGCGCTGGAGAACAAAATACGCCAGTTTGACTAGTAACGTTTTAAATACGTTTGCCAATCATCTTAACACAAGACGCGGATAATATTAAACTCGCTGAACTTTTCATCCACCTGCTCTGTTACCTGCCTAATAAAGGGTCACCTCATCCTCTCTGATGACCTGTATTGCTGCCCTGTATATTTCCTGCCTCTTCAAATATTCTCCATAAGACTTGACGAAGCATGGGCATCTATACAGTGGGAAGGTGTCGTCAACCAGAGGCTTCGTCAATGGAAAGAGAAACGGTGGACACTGAAGGAGTTTGGAGCCATGAGTCTGTTTCTCTCTGTATTGAGTAGATGAAGTCACTTGTTGGCGAAACGTCTCAAGAATAAAAATGTCCATGTGTTGGACAAATATCTCAGTCATCAACTTGTCGGGTTTTTATACCGTTTATATAAAGATTAGTGTCCAAATAAAACTTTCTGGTAATAAAGATACATCATACACGAGACTTCCTTTCATACCTGCTAGTAAAGAGACATACATGAAGCTTCCTTTCATACCTGCTAGTAAAGAGACATCGTACATGAGGCTTCATTTCGTACCTGCTAGTAAAGAGACATCATACATGAGGCTTCCTTTCTTACCTTTAAGTGCCATAGTTTTGCGTATCATATAGTTCAGAGCATCACCAATCTGGTGGCCCGTGGCCTGGTGGCAAAAGCTCTCGCTTCACACGGTGTGTCTTGGTTCGATTCCCGGCGAGGGTAGAAATATTGGGCGTATTTCCTTCCACCGGTTGTCCATGTTCCCCATCAGTAATAATGGATACCTGGGTGTTAGTGGACTGGTGTGGGTCGCATCCTGGGACCTAGTATATCATGCCCAATTTTTGGGCATGATCTACTGCCAATAATAGGTCCCGTCCACTTGTGACGGTAACTTCAACTGGTGCACCTCATCTGACTCCAGTATATAAAAAGCCCATCTTCTCAATGCTTCACTTTCATCAAGACTAAAGTACTGAAAACTGGCTGCCGGAATGCGTGACTGATTGCCTTATCTTCCACTGTCCTCTGTGTATAGTTCTACAAGAAAAAGGGACTGTTGTCTATTACGTAGTGAGTCCCTCCTTAGTGGGTGGATACCCAATAGTAACAAGAGAAGACCAACAAAAGTCTCCAGTTTTTATTTAGTATAATACTAAGCTTCTTGATTTATTTAGTAAATTAAAATTAATAAAAAACACTATTTCTTGGCAGGATATGAACAATACAGGAATACCTCTCCTTCGATAAATATATTCAGACATTAGTTCCAGAATGAACTAGCACAGTATGTCACTGTAATCTCTAACACATTCAGAGGCTGAAGTACAGTATGAGGCTCATTTACTCCCTAATTAATCTAGTATATACATGTGTTCACAACAGTCGGAATTGGTTAGAGACTCGTCGTCATGAAACTTCAGTTGTGATACAGAAAACAGACTTAGTCTCTTTGCCAAATCGCTTCACAGAGTGGATAACACAAACGTAATCCACCAAGTATTTTCAACACGAATAAATCGTCAAACACTCGCTCAATCCGAGAGATCTCGGTCCAAAGGTTCTCCTGGAATTTTAAAGGGAGACTATATGAGAGCTCATTAGCTGGACGCTTTCTCGACCAGAGGTGAGAATGAAGCACTAGGAGTAAAATTCCCTTGCCTGACATCACCTTGGAATGAGCGGGAGTTTGCGAGGCTCACACAACTACATGGAAATTTAACACAAGAATACTAGACATTTCAGATTTTTAAAACATTCCACCTGAACTAAATAATTCATGGCCAGATAATATTATAAAGCAAATCAGCTTTATTTTAGCTATTAATAAAGATACCGATGATATAATATTAGGTGAAAAAGCCGAAATTACACATTAAGCAAATGACCCTTGTTAAATTGTGGACTAAGGGGGTAACATTGCCTCATTTTCTACTGTCTTTTGTGTATACTTCTATAAGAATGAGGGACTGATTACCTCATCTTACACTGTCTTTGTATGTCATCTTTGTATTGAATGACAGAGCCACTAGCTGCTACAGTGTGTTACATGGAGTAACATCAGTCTTATAAATATCAACATTAATGGTAATATAGATTTCTTTACTACCTTTCTTCATTAATATATCTCTTTCTCTTTGATGTTACACAATTCTCTGAAACGACTCAGGATAAAGGAAGCATTTTATTACACTTCTGTATTTGCTCTTATATCCTGGTTCCCTTCAATAGTTTGACTTTCAACATTTTTTTTTTTTTGGGAAAAAGAAAATGGTATGAAATTTGTTCAATATATTTAATGGAAATAAATATTAATTCATGTCAATAATTTACAAAGTAGAATAGTTGTCATTGAGAACAATAACAATAGTAATATGTCTCATTATCTATGTACATCAGGATGGGAAATAATATGTAAAAGAGAATATCGGAAATTTGATGATGTATGGCAGTGGTAAACATGTTGAGGTGAGATTATTATGATAATAAAGAGTAGTTTAAAACCCGTAGGGCACACACAGTGCCTGGAGAATGGGAGGTAATTATCATCGGAGGAAGGAAAAGTTTGCTTGTTGATACAAGACAGTTGATACGGACTTGAGTGAAGGAATGCTGAAGATAATGGAGTCAATTATTTACACTTGGTCAAGTCTTGATCGCTGGAGATGACATTCTCAGCTCTGTGAAGAACTCAGACTCATCTCTCACAGTAATATGGAAATGTGAGTCGTTTATTTTGATTCATTAGACTCATCGGAGTCCGGAGCTGAGTAGCGGGGTCTTGGTGGGCTGTACTCCCTGGACTCTTCAGACTCGGGGTACTGAGCCTCTCCCTCGTAGGTCACCTCAGCCACGTAGCCTGAGTCACCGTCCACGTAGTAAGTCACCTTCTGCAGACGACCATCGGGAAGCTGTACGTAGTACGACCCCTTAGTGTTGTCACCATCGCGAGACTCCTGGTGACCGAAGTCGTTGTCAGAGTCATCGTCCTTCACGGACCAGTTGAAGTCGTACTTGGCCTCGCTGGACTCTGCTGAGAATTCCTCAGAGTCACTGGACTCCTGCAAAGATAATTTATGTTAAATGTAATGGTGGAGATTATGTTTACATTGTACAGTAAAAGATCATCCATTGAAAATAATATAATGCTTCAGCTGAACAAAATGTAAAATATTACTAACATTTACAGTTCCACTACTTTCTTAATTTTACATTGAAAATTAGTTAATCTAAGAAATTTAAGTTTAAATTTGATTGTGAGTAACATAGTCACTAAAAATTATTGTCTGTATTATTTGTCATGGTACATAGTGGATGATTTGTCAACACTGAGTAATAAATACAAATGCGAATTATTTCATAGTTGATCACAAGTGTGGAAGAAAACTTACAGGTTAAGAGCGAGCATTTACTGAGGCAACATTTCGTCTTGTGTTGAGTTTTACATAGAGCGAAATGTTGCCTCAATTAATATTGCTTTGCACCTGTTACTTTTCATCAATATTATCGGCATAACGCTCATGTTTCCACTGAACCAACAGCTGCTCATGGGTGTTGTGTTGCAGGAGCGAGACGTTACCTGGGGTGGTCCATAGGAGAAGGATGGTCTCTTGTCAGCAACAGCCAGGACCACAAACGCCAACAAAAGCACAATCTATCAAAATTATATCAACTGCTATATTATACAGTGATAATACAAGACCTTGACAAGTATTGTAAGAGAGAAATATATTCACAGTGATAAGAAGTGATATTGTTATAAGTACTTGGCACAAAAACGTATGGAGTGTCAATGGGCAACAAGTGATCTTTACCTAATGGGAGTAGAGGTGGGAAAGCGAGCTTACCTTAGTGTTCATGATGGTAGAGCCGAAGAAGCAATGATGCTCTCAATGTGTCCTCCTGACGTATATATACCCAGCTGAGAATTGACCCTCACACTCAAAACATGTTTTTTTGAGAATGCGACACAGGAAGAGCTGGACTCCTGGCAGACCTTCACATGCAAGCTTTACCACACGCTAAGATAATACATACTCGTGTTCTTTACCGGATGATCGACGCTGCCCAGTACTTCTTCTCCAAGTCATCAAGGTGAATACTGAGAGTCTGCCTCGCATTTACCAGACAGAGGATCGAGCCTACACTACTTCGTGTTTGAATAATACACGTAATATTAGCGCTTTACATGATTGATAGTAATAAAAACAACAACAATAATAATAATAATAATTAAGAAGAAGAAGAAGAAGCTGGAGGATGAGGAGGAGAAAAACAAGACGAAAACAAGAACATTAACAACAACAACGATAATGACGACACCAAGACGAACAAGAACAAAAATACAAATAAAAACAAAACATTCGCTTTTCAGGGAAATTACTTCACCTAGAAATTAAACATCTGAATAATTTCTAGAATACAGATAAGTCACATATATGTCTAACACAGCAGCCATTTCTTTATAATAATAATAATAATAATAATAATAATAATAATAATAATAATAATAATAATAATAATAATACTTACTTTTTACAAGTACTTGATACAACTTATACAACCCATAGCTGACACCAATGACATACTATATAGAAAGTCCCTTGTTATGTAGAGCATTTCCTGCAACTTAGGTTAATTTCGTCCCCCAGGATGCGACCCACACCAGTCGACTAACACCCAGGTACCTACTTACTGTTAGGTGAAGAGGGAGAGCAAGTGTCTTAAGGAAACATGCCCAGTGTTTCCACCCATACCGGGAATCGAACCACGGGTTTCAATGTGTGAGCTGTGTGCTTCCAACCGAGCCACAGGACATCTCAACGAATCAAACAGGGCAAAGGGATGCGTATCTCTCAGAGTATATACATGGGGAGGTATTTATCTTATCAGTGTATATACATCGATAAATGTATATCTATCAATATATTTACATGGGGTAATGTGTATCTATCAATGTATATACATCGAGTAATGTATCTATCAATGTATATACACCGAGTAATGTGCATCTATCAATGCATATACATCGAGTAATGTGTATCTATCAATGTATATACACCGAAAGATGTGTATCAGTGTATATACATCAAGAGATGTGTATTTTCAGTGTATATGCATCGATGATTGTGTACCTAAGTGTATATATACCGATATATATCTGTTCCTGTATATTCATCGATAAAAGTTTATTTGTTAGTGTGCATACATCGAAAGATGTGTATTTTATATACACAATACAGTGACTGGAATAATACACACATAACCCGCACATAGGGGAGACAGAAACTTCTGACTACGCGTCGGATCAAAATGTCGTCGTTATAAACTCTCTCCTATGTGCAAGTTAATATTGTAATGTGTATACTCTCTAAAATTTTAGTGGTTATGTATTTAGATTTACAATATCGCAAGATTTACACAAAAAGAGGTAATGTTATTGCTTTTCACAACTGAAATCACGGGACAAGAGCTGCAGTTCTTCCGTTCATTTACAGGCTAAGAGTTGTTACTCTGTCTCATCGACACCATGCCTAACCCTTCTAGGGTAGGGTAGGTGCCTGAGCCCGAGCCTTTAGCTCATAAGACTGTCATTCCCATTTGCCCCCTTGGGGCGGGGATGGCAGACCAGAGAGGCCTAGCTTGTGGCTAGGCCTGGGGACAGTTGGTCCCAAAGATGAGGAGGTACTTGTGCCTCCTCCCATGGGAGACTTAGGTCTCAGACACTCCCTAAAGAGGGAGCCAAGGCCGGGCCACCACTTGGAAAAGGCCCGGGCCGGGAGAATACCGGCTAATCTTTAACTAACTAACTAACTACTCTGTCTCAGCTCACTTCTAAGAACGAACTTATCTACGGTACTTTACCACCCCCAGGATGCCACCCATAACAGGCGTCTAACGCCCTGGTACCTATTTAATAATTTAATTTATTTAATATTAAAATAATAATATCTTTATTTACTACCAGTACATGTACAAGGTATACAGACCATAGCTGACATCAATGACATACTACTATATAGAAAGCCGCTTGTTATGCTGAGCATTTCCCGCAAATTAGGTCAATTTTGTCCCAGGATGCGACCCACACCAGTCCACTAGCACCCAGGTACCCATTTTATACTGATGGATGAACATGGACAGCAGATGTCTTATGGAAACACGTCCCTAATGTTTTCCAGTCGTACCGGAGGAGATTCGAACTCCGGAACTCAGTGCGTGCGCTAGCGATCGCGCTAGGTGAACATGGGCACCGGGTATGTGGAGACTAGACCGTATTTCTCACATTGCCTGGGAAGCGACGTACCTCTGAGACACGGACCACCTTATAAATGAGAAAGAAATACCTAAAAATTTGAACTATCTTAAGGACAGACATCAAGGTGACGTCTCCAGCAACACCAACTGGTAGTTCCGTAAACGGTGATGTTGAAGAGAAACCTACTGAGTAAATGGGGGTCGATCAGGGTGGATGGGCGGGGCAGGTAGTGTATGAGGGCGGCTGGGTGGGTAGAATGACTGGATGCTGCCACCCTTACTCCTCTCACAGAGTCAAGGGCATCTCGCGACAATGACTTCAGCTGGTACCCACTGCCCCAGACATAAGCAACGCTCACCACGGGCACGCACATTTTCTAACGCAACACTATAATTGTTTCGTGTTGCAGCGTCGCATTTGTTACCATGCATAACAGCCACTGTGAAAAAAACAGTGAATTTCAAATCGCTTTCGTGATTTCTCACATTATCAAGGAACAGTTCCTTGATAATGTGAGAAATCACGATAGCGCTTGGAAATTCACTATTTTTTTCACAGTGATTGTTCTGCATATTGTGATATCACCTATTTACTGTGATCTATTGCAAATGTTACTACGTATGATAACTGGTGTAACACTATGTATACCTGTACCTAAATAAGCTAAGTAGCGTTGAGTTGTAGAAGGATTATACTTGCTGTATCTTCAGTACAAGTCGCAGCTCTGTGGAGCTGGATACAACAGCTCAAAACCAACAGTTGTTGTTATACACATCTGCGTAATTGTAAGGATTTTGGAATTTACGTCAAACACATGTATCTTTCAAACTTTTTTTTGTATCACATTGCTTAATAATGTTTAATGTGAAGATGGTATCACATAAGGTCGAAAACTAGATCAATCCTATACATTGGATATATATATGCTGAGAGTTTATCTTGGATATTAGAGGTTACATGCGTGGTTTATAATCATCGTGTAGTCGACAGGCTTTAAACCCCATTAACCAACCATCGACCCCATATAACATTTCTGGCATATTTTATTACGTTGCCCAAAAATATGAATACCTTAAATAACTTATACCATCACGTTGAGATTCAAAGGGTTATTAGTGCTGTCCACGCAAGACAGCTCCTGAGAGAATGATGGTAAATATGCTTTCTTCTTTTTTTTTTTTTGACTCAGCCTACCTTCGTCAGAGACGGCCTATGTGATAAAGAAAAATATCATTTAATAATCAGATATGTACAGCACAAGGCGAAGGCCAGTCAACATGTGTTGGGGAGTGTGGCTTACAAGGTGGAGGTCACTGTGTACCAACACTCTCTCTCTCTCTAGTGATGGCCTTTTGGTCCAGGGAATTGGAGCTACGGCTCACGTTCCTCGGAATAAACATAATTACCTTCTATTCATCGAAGGGTAAATAACCCATATTGCTAGAAATTTCCCAACGAATATAAAATTAATAGCAATAATAATAATAATAATAATAATAATAATAATAATAATAATAATAATAATAATAATAATATAATAATAATAATAATAATAATAATAATAATAATAATAATAATAATAATAAGAGTAATAATAATAACTATTAATAATAATAATAATAATAATAATAAATAATAATAATAATAATAATAATAATAATAATAATAATAATAATAATAATAATAATAATAATAATGAGTAATAATAATAATAATAAAACTAATAATAATAATAATAATAATAATAATAATAATAATAATAATAATAATAATAATAACAATAATGATATCAAGGCTCTGTGGACACCTGGACAGGTGGACTTGTCTGAGACCGCCTTAGGTGCAGCGGAAGTACCAATTACTGCCCATTAGCCTCCACGGTAGGTAACTCAGGAAGGCAGCCACACCCGTCACTGATCAGGTACTTCCTGATCTCATTACAACACTTTTTCTAAAGCTGTTTTTTTAAAAGCTAGCCAAGGTATTAGCTGGACACATTCTTCCGCTCATCTCCAGCTCCTTTTGCTGCTCTTTTCCAGCTCTTTTGCTCTCTAAACAAAGACAGCAGGTATTAAGAGACTTCGTAAGAGCTGTTATAGTACCTCAGTTCAATTACCTGCTAAGAGATATTATCCTACCTTAGCTCATTTACTAGCTGAATTTATCCTTACCTCGGCTCATTGACTAGAGACGAGCTGTTATCCCGCCTCAGCTCGTTTACACCTGGTACCCATGTTCACATACCAGTACGTACGTTCCTGGGTGTTATTTGATTGTCATTTCGCAGTTTTAACAGAGATATGTACAGTCGTGTATTTACAAAGAGCAATAATTTGGTACCCGGGTACTGGTTGGCTACTGTGGGTGCCATCCGGTTGGCGCGTTTTAGACATGACTGGTCTTCGTAGTGAGGTAGATAAGTCTTTAACTAGACAACAAGGACGTAGGAATAAGCATTTGCTAGTCTGTAATTCAGCTGAAGTGGGATAACAGAACTTCAGTGGGCTGAGGTAGGATAGGCGGTCTTAACTTGTGAGCAAACAGAAGAATGATAATAGATCTAAGCCTGTGAATTAGATTGGGAAGAATATTGTTTTGGCTCTGGGTTCTTATCGTTTATGTCGTGTGATTCAAGAAGTTGACGGCTGAATGGTTTATTATCTAGAGCTGTAATTAAACCAATCCCTCAGCGTATATACACTGAGAGATGCTCATTTCTCAGTGGATATGAACTGGGAAATACTCATTTTTATCTGTGTATGTACTCTGAGAGAGAAGCATCTTTCGGGGTATATACACAGATACACTCCTCTCACTGTATGTACACTGAGACACACACACACACACACACACACACCTTGGTGTATATACAATGAGAGACATATACACATCTCGGTGTATACGCTCAAATGCGCATCTTTCATTGTATACACACAACGATACACACATCTCGGTTCTATGTAAAGGACAAGGTTACATAAGGTTACGCCAGGGTAAAAAAAGAAAAAAACTAGGAATCCCTACCTCCCAGTCTGCCGAAATCACACCTAATTGGTTTCAATTAATTTGCAGTGGATGTACGGAGCAGAGTCAGCCATCCGGGAAAAAACATGAGGATACCGTCCCTTAGCGGACGGTATCCTAGTGAAGGTCTGACAGGAGTCAAGTTCCTCCCGTGTTGGGCCACAAAAAAACATGCTTTGAGTGTGAGGGTCAATTATTAGCTGGGTATATATACGTCAGGAGGACACATTGAGAGCATCATTGCTTCTTCGGCTCTACCATCATGAACACTAAGGTAAGCTCGCTTTCCCACCTCTACTCCCATTAGGTAAAGATCACTTGTTGCCCATTGACACTCCATACGTTTTTATGCCAAGTACTTATAACAATATCACTTCTTATCACTGTGAATATATTTCTCTCTTACAATATTTGTCAAGGTCTTGTATTATCACTGTATAATATAGCAGTTGATATAATTTTGACAGATTGTGCTTTTGTTGGCGTTTGTGGTCCTGGCTGTTGCTGACAAGAG